AGAAGGGTCACCAAGGGATGTTAGGATACCTCTTGAAAAAGAGAGTTCAGAAGAACTAAGGATCCAGATAGAAGCAGTTCGGGTTGACGACTATGAAGGATCGACGTTAACTTTTTATGCATACTAATTGGTGATCTTGTATCTCAAGTGCATCTATGCTGATATGTGCATCGTATTTCCACAAGAGTTCTGCGAATCATGGAAATGGTTGGGTCGAACTTGTGGTTATTGAAGCAAGAGACCTAGTAGCTGACGATCTACGAGTGACAAGTGATCCGTATGTGAGGGTGCAATATGGAAACTTGAAGAGACGAACAAAGGTATTGAGACTTGAATGAATGATGCATGTTTGTTCTATGTTCTATACTTCAATAGTTTTTAACGGTTCCATGGATTGCCCTTCAGATTATGTACAAAACATTGAACCCCAAGTGGCATCAAACATTGGAATTCCCGGATGACGGCAGTCCTTTATTGTTGCACGTCAAAGATCACAACGCCTTGCTACCAACATCGAGCATAGGTGTTTGTGTTGTAGAATATCAGAGATTGTCCCCGAACGAGATGGCTGATAAGTGGATACCGCTTCAAGGGGTCAAAAGGGGGGAGATTCACGTGCAGGTTACGAGAAAAGTTCCAGAACTAGAGAAAAGACCAAGTGTGGACCCTGAATCACCCTTAACGAAAGCTCATCAAATATCAAGCCAGGTGAAAACTTGTTGTTTATGTCGATTTCAATGGCCCTATACAATCGAACAATGTCGAACTCTGACATCTTATTTGATGTTGGTTTGTACAGATGAAACAAATGATGATCAAGGTTCAATATTTAATCGAGGATAGCAACCTTGAAGGGATTCCAGCTCCATTGAGCGAACTCGAAACTCTTCAAGACATGCAAGAAGAATACATGGTACAGCTCCTGAACAAGATCAAGGATTTGGTCGGGATTTTTGAACTCGTCGCCTTCCGAAGCAGAAGATCTTCTCAAAGTTGAAGCAATTTACCTTATGATATTGCACGATAATATTATCGTTCTACCGATCTAGTTCGGCTTACCAGAAATGCTTACGGACAAAAGGTCACGTACATCATACGCAGCATAATAATCCTCGTAGATTAGGCATCACTGCTTTGTAGATTTGGGATTGATGGCACTTTTATTGCTTTTAGGATTGCATAATTCAAACACAAATAGTAGCTAAGGTCATGTATGATGAGTTGTCTCTCTTAAATCTACATGCAAAGAATTTGTATCATAAAAAGTTTGTTGATATGATAGTGGCTAAGGTATTTTCTTCTACAAGTTCAAGGCTTTAGGTAGCACGAATCAAGTGGTTTCTACGGTAAAAGAATTGTTATTATTCTTTGAAGATCCGAATTTGAGCATCATTTCTACGGTAAAAGAATTGTTATTATTCTTTGAAGATCCGAATTTGAGCATCATAAATGTCAGGGGGTGAAAGTTTAATGTCAAAAATTTGAAAGTTATCTTTAAACATATCATTATCTTATATTTACCCCAAATTAATAAAAATAAATAAGGCTTTTATGTATCTCGGTGTTTAGCATGTTCTTATACCAAGAACCCTAGTAGTATGCAAAGCTGAACTTTTTAAATCATTTGATGCTCTCTATGTCTTGATATTAGATATCTTTTCATGCGGGACACACTTACATATATGAACTCTCCTGGTCCCAAATCATCGTTGTCCGTATTTTCTGTCACATATTGCTTAAACTGAGTAGACAGTTTTTCTTCCTGTTCACTCCATTATCCATTGAGGCACTTTTATTGCTTTTAGGATTGCATAATTCAAACACAAATAGTAGCTAAGGTCATGTATGATGAGTTGTCTCTCTTAAATTTACATGCAAATAATTTGTATCATAAAAAGTTTGTTGATATGATAGTGGCTAAGGTATTTTCTTCTACAAGTTAAAGGCTTTAGGTAGCACGAATCAAGTGGTTTCTACGGTAAAAGAATTGTTATTATTCTTTGAAGATCCGAATTTGAGCATCATAAATGTCAGGGGGTGAAAGTTTAATGTCAAAAATTTGAAAGTTATCTTTAAACATATCATTATCTTATATTTACCCCAAATTAATAAAAATAAATAAGGCTTTTATGTATCTCGGTGTTTAGCATGTTCTTATACCAAGAACCCTAGTAGTATGCAAAGCTGAACTTTTTAAATCATTTGATGCTCTCTATGTCTTGATATTAGATATCTTTTCATGCGGGACACACTTACATATATGAACTCTCCTGGTCCCAAATCATCGTTGTCCGTATTCTCTGTCACATATTGCTTAAACTGAGTAGACAGTTTTTCTTCCTGTTCACTCCATTATCCATTGAGGCAACCGGTCCATTTTCCCGATAACGTCAGGCTGGAGCGGGCATATCCATCCATGATGGCCGATTTGTCTTCCCATTATGCTTTGATTGTTTTTTTTTTCTCTCAATCCAGATCTATCCGCGTCGCACATTTAATTTTGGTGAGTGAATCTTCTGATAAGGATTTTTTTTCATGCTGAAGGACTCAAACACAATATATTATTTAAGTGATATTAAGTTATTTATCACTTGAACCAAGCGTATGTTATACGGGGCCGTAAGGGTTTTCATGCATCATCCGGCATGAGTTGGCCTGTAATAGCAATTTGTTCATTTTTAACACCACCAGGTTTGGTAATGTATTTCATTTCTCAATTAGGGCTGGGACTATATATTGAAACTTGAGTTTCAAGAAAAATGTAAGTTTGCCTGTGCCGAGTCAAGTTCGATTCGACTCAATTTAAAAATTCGAGAGTCTAAAGCTCAATTCGAACTCGAAACCATGAATTGAAGCTCGAAAAAGTTTAAAATGAGAAAAAAATATTAAGTTTAAACTCAAATTTGAATATGAACTTTAAATATTAATATTATTAGTAATTTAACTTTTTAAAAAGTAAAATCTTGATATGTTATATTTTCGAGTTATTGGCAAATTTTTCGAGTTGAGTATTAAATAGTTTGTTTCAGCTCGTTAAGAACTTAAATAGATTATTTATCGAATTTTGACCTAACCAATCTTGAGTAGCTCACGATCTGTCTCGTCTTATTTATAACCCTTTAAGTTGTTCTATGAATGTTTTTACAATAAAGTTTTAGAATTTTTGTGTGATACAATTACAATTATTACATCAGTACGAAGGATTATATTAGAATCAATTATTATAAAGATGAAATATTTTTTAATTAATCTGGGATAAGTATAAGGTAGTGTGTGTTCAAAGATAATCTCAGTCATTTGATATTGAAAGCTCACGATCTCGATATTTTTTTATGTTCAATCTCGAGATCTCAAAAAATAACAATAATTCTTTAAATGCTTAAAAGGAAGGGTAGAAACAAATCGAAACCAATGCATGTCAGATGGAATGATAAGAAGATTGAATGATAAGAAGATTGAGTAATAAGAGACTAAAACAAATGGCATCATGGTCTCCACTTTTCAAATCTTAAACACAACTGTTACAGCGATCAAATGAAAAACATGGTCTCCACTTGTTTTGTTGTCCGATATGGCTGTATGAATTCCGATTATTTCCAGATCAGTAAAAGGCTCTTCTCGTATACTGAACTCTGGTCTCTCGTATACAGATGACCTTCATTTTTATTGGATAAAGACCTGAAGAAGAAGAAAGAGTTAAAACTCAGAAAACAAGCAACCATGAATTTAATAAAGGAGATGAAATTGAGAAAAATAGATGAGATGGATAAAGGAGATGATATGGTGAAGTGATGGAGCTCCCTTCAGTCCAATAAGTGGGCAAAGAATGGGGATAGAGTTGCTCCCACGCCATGCATCGAGCTGAACTCAACATTAACCTTGACCTTATGATGGAACCCATTCGTCAACGTGGACTAAAGGACGGCCTTGATCTTATGATGGAACCCATTTTCCCTTGTTGGGGAGTGGACTTGGTTTACTTTTAAAGGACATTGCTTTTGCTAGAGTTCCGAGGAGCCCTGGCTTTTGGCAAAGGATAGTACGGTCGGTAGGGCCTTTTGTATTTGTCTCGTCTCCAAGCTGCCGGCGATTCGATTCTTTCTTCATATGCACGCGCAAATTATATTCAACCTCACTTATTTTCGAATACTCATAATTTTTTTTTATAATATAAGGTGATTATAAACTATATGTTTATAACGCCAACGAGAGTTGGTATAAATGGTTAAGATTTAAAATTTTGAGTTTATAAGGTTAAGTTCGAATTATATCATCATCATTCTTGGTGGGCAATTTATAAATTCTTATGTAGATCTCAATTCGATCTTAGGTATGTCTTGATCTTGGACTAAAAGAGTCACCCCTTACCTAAACTTTTTTGTATAAAAAAAATATGTTTATGACTTTTTTATTCATTAATAACGCATAAATATTTTTACATATAAAGTTGTCCAAACTCTAAATCTTTAAAAAATAATATTTTAACCATTAAATTCATTTAATAAATTCTATATTTTTTATTATTTAACGTCTTATATGACTCAATCGTCGAATTTAAACAGAACCTATGCGATTACCAAACATAGTCAGACCTAAATATATGTAGGTAAATTACACGTTTAGTACTTAAATTATTAATTTTGATTCGTTTAGTACTTAAACTTTTAATTTTTTTTAAACCACACCTAACTTTTAGTTTTTATTTCATTTTAGTACACATCCGGCCACCATTAAAAATTATCGCATTTAGTACATAAATTATAAGTTTTAGTATGTTTTAGTACCTAAACTTTTAATTTTTTTCAAAACTTTAACATTAAATTTTGAACAGAGATACTAAAATGAAACAAAAACTAAACTTTAGGTATGATTTTAAAAAATGAAAGTTTATATACTAAAACGGATAAATACTGATCGTTTAGGTACTTAATATGTAATTTACTCATATATGTATGTCTTAGGTCAGATAGTTAGGGCTTTCCAGCCCAGCCCACTTGGTTCACTGTAATAACAAAACAATAGTCGGTTAATGCTCCGGCTCATCTAAAAATTCCGGCAGCATGAGCAAAAACGATTGCCGGCTGATAGCGGAGGAGACGTCAAGCGCCACCGTTAAACGGAAGCATATTTACTTTGAAGAATTTGACCATAACATACAAAGCGAGCGGAAAAAACGGTTGTCCTCTGGAGGCGAAATTAAAATCAAAACCCTAGCTTTACAAGCCGAACCGGTACGGAACCCGCCAGATTTGAACCGTTTCCAAGCCCTCCGTCCTTGCTCGTCTTCATCTTCATCGTATAGGGTGCATAGAAAGAGGCAGAAGAGAAGCAATTTCAGCAGCTCTGGAGCTTCTCGCCGATGGGTCTTCTCTTCCTATGATTGTTCTGATTGTAAAGGTATCGAACTTTGGAGTGTATATGTTTTGTAAAATTAAATATTTTAATATAATTGTATTTCGGTTAGTTAAAACATTGGGCGTTAGCCAAGAATCATATTTTGTTTTCTCTCGGTGTTAATATCTGTTAAAATTTATGATGAACCTGTTGAATGAAAAAGTTTATATATTGGTTTTGATTTATATTTAAGAACTTTTGTTTGTTTCTTTTGCTAGTTAATTGACTTATGCTGTAGCTATGCGTGTTAATTGAGCTGGCTAGCTCCATAGTAACCCTATGGAAGGAATGATAGAAGCGATACCCTAATGGATCAAAATATATCAAATGACTAACTTGTAATTGCAAACATGATTACTATATGTGAAAGTAAAATCATATGTTTTCTCTTTGTGTTCCAAATGTATTTTCCTTTATCTTCAGCAAGCAGTAAAATCTACAGTTCAATGCTTATCTTCTGGTTGAACTTTGAAAGCTGAAGAACATAGCCATTGGTTACTACTGCTCCATATTTCCCTTTTCTGGAAGTTGAGAATGTTTTTGAGTATCAAATATTTGAATGAGAATAATTTTGGGCACGTAGGGAGGATGTATTTTTCATTTTTTTTAATAATTTGTCTTTTCTCTACATAATTCTTTTAACTTTTTCTCTGCAGATAAAATTGTCATTGTTTCATATAATATACTTGGTGTGGAAAATGTGGAAAAGCATCCTGACTTGTATCTAAATGTCCCACAAAAGTTCTTGGAGTGGGATTGGCGTAAAGACCTAATATGTAAGGAGGTCAATTGTTACAATGCGGACATCCTGTGTTTTCAGGTGTGTTTATGAGTCTTTTAATATGAATAGAAAAAATATTATATATTAGCCCGATGAACTGTATTATAAGGCAAGACAACCCTCCTTTTGTCTTATAGGGTTGTGATCATGTAAATTCACCTATTTGAAATCAGCTAGATGTGAAAAATATTGTTAGATATATTCTTATAGTCCACTCTTTCTGCCATAGGAGGTTGACCGCTTTAAGGATTTGGACGATCTGCTGTGTAAAGATGGCTTTAAAGGTGTTTACAAGGTATAATAAAATCTTCCCTGTTCTTTCCCCAAGTCTAGCTGGTCTGCTTTCAAATTATTTTATTAACACAGAATCACAAATGACTCTAGGCTCGCACAGGTGATGCTTGTGATGGTTGTGCTCTATTCTGGAACCACAAAAAGTAATCTTATCAAGCTCCCTTGATGATTTTTAAAGTCTTTTATACTAGTATAAGTTTGATTGGGTAGAACTGTTGCTTTTTTGTTCATATGCAGCATTTATTTCCTATGATAATAAAATCATGCCTAGATGCTTATTCTCATACACATTGAAGATAAACACAACCTATTATTATTGCTATTATTTTATTTGACGCGACAGAATGCTGTCAACTCATTTGCCTAATACAAATGTGAAACATGTAGCAAGCAGTTAACTATGAACGTAGTTTTCTTTTGCCATGGAGTTGTCCCTTTCAAAATTTGATTCATTGCTTGTGAGCTCATTGTTTATTAGAATTGTTTCATTGTTCTAGTTTTCATTTATCATCTTTGCCATATCCAACTTTTAAAATGTTAAATCTGAATGCAGATTTACCCTTTTGCATGAAGAAAATATAGATTTCCGGGATTTTGACCTCCGTGACAATGTTGCACAATTTTGTGTTTTGAAGGTATTTTGGGGATGATTTATTACTGTTTATCCAAGTAGTTAAACCTTACTTGCTTTAATCCCATTTTTAAAGTGGTTGATTTCTTGAGTTTTTGTTAAATTATGTGATTTTCTATTTGCCTCGAGGCATTTCTTCATTTTGGTGATTCGCAAAGGATGCTTGGAAGTTTATCAGTTGCAGTTAATTGGTTTTCTGATTCTACCATCCATAACATCTTAATGCTTTATTATTTTCTTGCTAAAGATATTAGATCTTCTATCTTGTACATTTATCGTGTCTTTATTTGTACCAATTGAACCCTCAACATAATGTGCTATTGCTCCCCCCCCCCCCAAATTATTACATGTCCATTACTATTGCATGTACTTACTTTAGAAGTAAATTTCTATGGTTCCTTTCCTTTATGTTTAATAATTTTCACCATGCAGACAAAACAACATCAACCAAAGTCTAATTCGCATGCAAATCCGTCAAAGTAAGTTTAAACTTTTAGCGACATCCCTCTTTGTATAGATTTCAGTAGGAATTACTTTGTATTTGGTAACATTAGGTCTCAACTTTCATATGTTTCAAAATAATTCTCAAATAACGAAAGTTATCACTTAAATGTATTTTTTTTGTATAGAAGTTTGAGGTCTCATTAAAAACTCCCTTCGTATTCATCCACATACTAAGAAGTATGTTAACGAACATTGGAAGGAAGAAAAGAGTACCTCATATTTTATTGAATAAACACCCATTACATATGAAAACACGAACTACCCTCAAACGGGGATAAACACCATTACAAAACACATAATCACCTAAAACTCTCGCCTTCTCGACCACAAAGATCAAGTGGCAATCACTATATACCTAAGATAAACCTCCATCAAAAGGTAAACAACCCAACAGTAACTGACATAACATACATAAAAACAACACCTGCAACCATTAAACCAAAAACATCCGCCTCTGAAGGGAACTCCACAAAATACCAACATGATTCACAATCACCAACAAAGTTAGCTCGATAAGTTATCTTCACTTAAATGTATTTGGTTTAAATAAAATGCAAGTGTATTAAGTGGAAGCTTTTTGTTCAAGAACTGTACCCTAGAACCTTGTGTCCGGAAGCCTAGTAGCATTTACATGAAAAATTGTGTATGGTTTGTGGCTAAAAGGAAACTTTTCATTGATAGTTAGTTGGATAAATTTATTTTGTATTTTAAAACTTTTTCTACAAAACTGAATATACAGGATAAAAAAAAGGCGAAGCCGTAGATTATTGGTCGGAAATATACATGTGTTGTTCAACCCAAACCGTGGAGATATAAAGCTGGGCCAGGTACTGGGTCTGGGTGTTCAACGATGTTTTCTATTTTTTTATCCCACAGAATTAATGCCAAATCCTCCCAAGTTAAAATTTTTCTCGCCTGTATTTTTTTCCTTCAAAAATATGGAGGGTGGAGGATCCTTCTCGTTTAGAATACCGTTGTCTTCTATTTATTGAAGCCATTGATGCTTGGAAATATAACATGCAATGATATAGGTCCGGCTGTTTCTTGAGAAGGCTCACAAACTATCACAAGAATGGGGCAATATCCCTGTTATACTTGTAGGGGATTTTAACAGCATTCCTCAGGTGGGGTCATGCAACCTAACTACTACATGAATACGTACGGATTCAATATGCAGCTTGTTATCTTGTTTCTGCTGGCCCATTTTTATCTTGAATTTGTTTCCATCTAACCATCTTGTTTCCAGAGTGCTATGTATCAATTTCTGGCATCATCAGAGGTGAGTTTTGGTTCTTCTGGTGTTTCAAGCCCATGTCCTTGAAGTATTATTGGTTTTTTCACTCAGTGACATTTATTTGTTGTCTGGCTATATGCATCTTTAATTTTATTTGATTTTCGTTTTGCAGCTCAATACCCAACTCCATGATCGCCGACAGATTTCTGGACAGCTTGAATATCCATCACGGAGAAGAGAAATTAGAGCTCAACACAAGCATATATACAGGTTTTTCTTTTATTATGATTTTTTATATCCATTGGATATATCGGAGTACCTGAGATTGACTCCGTTGAGGTTATATTAGAAGCTCTATCTTAAACAAAATTCGTGGCCTTGAATAATCCTGATTGTTTTCCCTTTTCCTGCTTTGAACTACCTTTTTTATAAGCACTGATTATTATACACCAAGCGTATAGAGTTATACTTTTATTTGCTTTAACTGGATTTCGTACATCAGGCACCGTGTTTGGACGCACGACTCCAGGCAGTTAATGTCTTCATGGAGTGATGAAGAAGTAGAGCTTGCAACCGGCAATAAACAAGTCACTCATCTGCAACACAAATTGAACCTTTGTAGTGCTTATCTCAGGGCTCCTGTAAGTTTTCTTTAATCTTCTTTGCTCTGTGGTATAATTTTGGGCATTGGAAGTAAATGGCTGGCCCTTACATTAGTGTACCCGAACTTTCGTTTTGGTTAAACTTTTTCTAGGGGAACCGCAGAACAAGAGATAGTCATGGAGAGCCCTTGGCAACATCGTACCACTCCAAGTTATGGGGACTGTAGATTATTATGGTAGAATTATTGTTTCGTAGAATACTGTATATTTTTTAAACTTCTAGTTACTTAAAAGCGATTCGTTCAGGCATACGGAGGAACTTGTTCCTGTGAGAGTTCTCGACACGTTACCCATTGATGTATTGAGAAGAAATGCAAGTCTTCCTACTGAGGTAACCCTGTAGAAGTAATAAATTGATTAACTAAGCATATTATAAAACTGTTTTCTCTATCTTTTCGTGACTCGTGGTATATTAATCTAGCATTTACGACTTTGCAGAGGTGGGGTAGCGACCATCTTGCTCTTGTATGTGAATTGGCCTTTTCTGATGATTTGAAGGGACCTTAAATTGTTATGTTTGTATGTGATCTGAAAATTATGTAGCAATATCCTCTTCCTCACGCATAGGGTGAATGCACGAGATTGTCGGGGCACGATAACGCTTCTCTCGGCAGAAGACGACCGATGTACCGAAAGTATTGGAGGGGAGCTTTGAATTTCTTACAACTTGAGACATTAGTTTATGTTTTCTTGTACTTGAAAGAATGAAAATTCAAATACTGTTGACCTATCCGGATGCATTTCCATCAATATCTTTCGACATCAATCTGCGGCCTCACGATTCAATTTCAACGAGCTTACGCTACATCACACTACACCTTATAATTTCCAAACTTTCACGACCCGAAAACATTGACCTCCTTGTCCGAATGGTCTTCACGAATCATCGCGGAGCTCGCTCTTCCTTTGCAGTACCACGTAACATGTTTACCATCCCATCTATCCTCGCGTATCAAACAATCGCGCATTGCCAGCACCATCCCTTTTCTGAGTCCAATCGGTATTTTCCCACCTCTCACGTCCACGGATCCAACGCGTTTGCCGACACGGTACGTCATAGTATGAGCTATCAAAAGGGTGAAAACGACTGTAGATTCTAATGTACGGGCCAACACGATTAACACTTACAAAATATTCGACCAAATGTTTTTTTAACGAATAAATATTTGCACGAATCAAACGGTTTTTTTGGTAAAAGGAAAAGAATTGTTATTATGAGGATTTAGATTCAAACACTATAAATGTCAAAGGCATTAGAATTCAACGTCGAAAAGTTGAGAATTTTCTTTAAATATATATTTTTTATACTTATTTTAAATTAATAAAAATAAATAGATTGACAGAGAATCATCCTTAAAATCATTGAACTTCATCGATTAGTGGGATGGAAGTTAGTGGTGTTTAATCGTAGGTTATTTTTTTGAACGAAGGATTGTTGAAGATGAATATAAAGATGTTAATGGATAATTATTCATAACAAAACAATAATAAAGTATGACTTTGTTTATATTATTAGTCATGTTCTTTTTTATTCTTTTTCTTTTTTTTTTACCTTTGGCCGCTTCTTTTTAGACAAATTGTGGTTCAAGAAACCAATCACCCACCCCACTCGCATAATCAAATCAATTTCTTTTTCTTTTTTTTAGAGAAAAAGAGAATATTTCCGTTTGGTTAAGATTACTTGGAGTTTGTCCGTTGATGCATTAGATATTAGTTATGGAGAAGGATAAGAGAAAAAGGGGTGAAAAGGAACTGAAAGAGGGAGTAATATTGGAGGGAAAGAAGAAGAAGAAGAAGGTAACAAGAGAGGAAGATGAAGAAGCCGCCTCCAGTGAGGAAGATCAGGTGGAGGAGTTTTTTGCCATATTGAGAAGGATGAAGGCGGTGGTTAAATATTTCAACCAAGGCAGCGGAGCCGACGGAAAAGGGTGGAGGGCGGCAGCGGTTGAGGTTGAGAAAACCGTCATGGCAGCCGAAGTTGACGACGACAACAACGACGTAGACTCCGCCAAGGAAGTTATCGATAACAACAAAAGCAACAATAATAGAAAGGAAGCCGAAGCCGTGGCGGAGAGCGGCGTTTTGGACTTGAACGAAGCGCCAGAGGAGGAGGAGGAGGAGCCGATCAGCAGCTGATCTTGACCACCGCTGCCAACAGGTAGAGGTTTGAATTCCACAACCATATGTCATGCTTGTTGGATTTTTTTTGTTGGTGATTATCGTTATGTTAGTTTAAAGTAGGAAGTTGATGAACCTCCAGAGTTTTAACTAATTTTATTTACTTTTATTTTCATCGATTTTCATCTTAATATTCATAAAAGCGATGGCGCACGTTCATGGTTTTCTTTACGGTGGTTTTCGATTGGTTTTCTTCTGTTTGTTATCTTCTACGATCTTCTTTTCATTATGAGTGCTGGTATGCTGGATTGGAGGAAGCTTTTTGGTGGTTCTGCTGGGCAGACTTTGGAGTTCTTTCCTCCGGTGGTTCGGGATGGAATTCCGACTGTACAGCCCCCGTCGGAGGTATTTGATGCTGGAATTTCTGAATGGAAGTTGTCCTTGGTGGGGTAATTCCTTAGGGCTGCGCCGAATTTTGCTTCTATGCAAAGGATTGTGGATATCTTGTGGAAGAAGGCTTTGATGGGTTCTCATGTTCAGGTAAGCCTAGCGGGTAATAACCTCTATGTTTGTTCGTTTTCTCGTTTTCTTCTGAATCTGCTCGTGACTGGATTTTAGAAAATGGACCGTGGCATGTTCAGTTTAGCTGTTTTGGTTGCTTAATTGTTGAGGAGAGTGGTTCTTTGGGGACGGGAGGTTCAGTGCAAGACTCATCACTTTGCAGAGTTTGTTTTCTCTCTTAAGTCTGCTGAAATGTTTTGTTTCTTACATGTTTATATTCTGGTTTTTTATTTTGGTATGAGTTGGTTTTTGGATAGGTTTGTTGTTTTGATTGGTGCCTAGCAGGGTTGACTGCTTGGTGGTTCTAATTATATATTATTAGAAAATAAAATAATTCTGTCAATTGTATTTTTAGAACTCAACTCTAAGAATTAAATAATAAAGAATTAACCTATATAAAACTCAAATCTCAATTTATCAATTTCGTCACAAACGTTTTTTTCATCAATTTAACCCTTGAAGTTATTCAATTACATCATTTTATATCATACTCTAACTTAAAACCCTAAATCATAACATTTAAACCATAAATTATAGCTTAGGGTTTTAAAGTCAGGAGTAGGATATAGAATGACGCAATGGAACAACATCAAGGGTTAAATTGGTGTGAAAACACAATAGGAACGAAACTAATAATTTGGGTCTACTACAAGGACAAAGGTGATAATTAAGCCTATTTTAAGCATAAATCACATATATACAAATGATAATATATAATTAGAAAATATTAAAATATAGAGATATTTACTTTTAAAAAAAACTAAAAACAACATATTATTAACTAAATCAAAACTAAATAATCATCCCACGTTTAAACCAATGTTAAGCTTTCATGTTCATTAAATATATAGGTACTAAATTCATTATGAACATTCTTCTCTTTTCCCTCTAAAGTCTCCTTTCTTCTCTCCTTTAGATAAAATTAATATATATATGGGGCAGGATCCGTTTACACCATGTAAAACTAATAAGTATTACATTAATTTATAGCCATTCGATTTAATTAAAATTTATTACTCATAAATAAATATATTTTAACTCGATAAAATAATATCTTCTTTTATCCCAAAATCATAAAAATCTCAAACCCTAAAACCCTAATTCCCAACTCCAAACCCCACAATTCTAAACCCCAAACTCAACTCCTAAATCATATACACTAAACCCTAAACCCTAAATTCTAAATCTAAAACTATAATTCCTAAAATCTAATCCTAATAAGAAAAGTATATTGTTTTACTGTAACGTAAAATATATTTATTTATGGTTATAAATTTTAATTAAATCTAGTCCATTTATTTATTTAAATCTAATGACTATAAATTAGTATAAAACTTATTAGTTTTACGTAATGTAAGTAGATCCTAATCCTATATATAAATATATATATTATATAGGTTAAATTTTACCTTTGTCCATGTAATAAACTCAATTTGTCACTTTCGCTCATATCATATTTTCGCATTAATTTATCCCTCGAAGTTGCTCAATTGCATCATTCTATAATCTACCTCCAACTTAAACCCTAAATTATAAGTCCTAAGTTAAGGTATAAGGTTTGTTGTTTAAAGGTTATGGTGTTATGATTTAGGGTTTATAAGTTAGGAATAGGTTATAGAATTATGCAATTGAACAATTCGAAGGCTAAATTGATACGAAAATACGATAGGGACAAAAACGATAAATTGATTGCAAAAGTTACCCATTTGCTTATTATATATATACTAATCCCTTATTATATATATACGAATCCCACCTACCATGGCCTAATATCCAACATAAAGAATATAAAACATGAACCAATGATAAAAATTCAAAACTCAAACCCATTATGAAATAGTAAGCATATTACCCAAACCCCTCCTCCACTATTTGTCTAATGCTTTACAAATTACATGTGATTTTGTTTTCGTACACGTGACATTTTCAAAGTACTAACCATATGCTAAATGCTCAAACTTCAAAGGTATAATTGATGTGAAAATACGAAAGAATGTATATTAATAAAAAAAAAGTTATAAAGTACATAAGTAATTGTTAAATGATGATTTTTATACAATTTTAATGATTAAAGTTTTAAATTTTATAACATAATTATTAAACTTATCAAATAATTATAAAATAGTCATTATTAAGTTTACATTGTAAATTCCTTCTACTAAGCTAGGGAGATTATAAGGTAATATATGTCATAAAATTTATCAACAATTTGACAATGAAAATTCATCACCCTTGTAGTCATTGTTGCTCGAATATAGAATCTCTATATATAACAATTATTCATTAAACCACTGAAGTAGTTTAATTCATGACTTCACGTAATAAATTAAATAAATGGAAAATTAATGAATTTAACCAACGATATCAAAATAGATACGATTTAAAAGTGAAGAATTGGGATAAAAAATGACAAAGCTAGTATAAATTTAATTAACTATATATATATATATATATATATATATAACTATGTATACATTTTTATCAAACGTACTTTTAGATAAAAAAAAGTCCTTTTTGACAGTAAATCAATGTCAAATGGAAAAAAATATTTTTAAAAAATTGCAGTGGAAATGGTGATTTCAAACCAACCGCAAAAACTGAAATTTTAAGCTTTTCATTTTCAACTTTGTATTTGGGAACAAACTATAATTTTACCCTTAAAAGTACATATAATTTAAATTATGTATTTAATATAATTTATTACTTAATAATTTAATATTAACATCATTAAAAAATAATTTATTATTTAGTAATGTATTTTTAATAATTATTACTTAATAATTTATTTTATATTTTTATTATAATTTAATTGATATATTTTATGTAACACAATATTAATAAGTGTAAATATAATTTAAATTATATATTTTTAATTTACAACATAATACGGGATTGTCTCAGGAAAGGCGGGTTAATATACGGCTAATATACAGCATTACCGGATACATTAAAATGTATTTAATAAATTCGGTTTAGCGGTACCTATTATGTTGACAACTAATAATGTTTTAGGTAGAAAATATGAAAAACTA